TTCAAAAGAGTTTTGAATTTTGTTTTGATTTTTTTCAAACAAAATTTGTTCATCTTTAACATCTTTCATTGTCCGTTTTCGTTTGGATCTAGATCTCATCTTAAGGTGTAAGATTTGTGAGGAGGACCGTTTGTGATTAACATTTGTATAGACATATTATTGTAACAATTTATGTGTTTAACTTCTTATTTCTCAGGATCCTTTAAGTGGTTGTTTCAAGTGTTCTTATCATAGTTTTTTTTTATAGAAGTTATCATTTTTTAAATACTCAATATTTCTTTGCTTTCTGTTCTTTTTTTGCTGTAGCACTGAATTTTTAGCTACCAGACCATATTTTCAAGACCATGTAGGTATAATTTATAGTTTACAGATCAAGAAATTTCCATAACATTTAGTGGAGTTACTAATCTCATTTTTTAGTTACAAAAGAGCACATGGTCTGTTGTGAAAGACTAATTTTTTGGATGTTGGAAAGTTAACCTCACCTTGACTTTGACCATTGCATGCTGTTAGAACAAGATTTGTTCATGAAATATATCCTTTGGGTTTTCATGATAACAAAATGTTGAAAAAACAATGGTGTTATCTAATGTGTGTTCTCAGTATGCAAGTTCTAAAGCTTAAGACGAAACCATTTAGAATCTGATACAAGGATGTATTTGAGAGAAGCTGAGTTACTAACTTCTAATGGCTCAGAACTGATGCACATTATTAAGTAAATTATGGTGATATAGATTTGAGTAGACTCTGAAGTGGAATGTATCAAAATAAAAAAGAAATGTATTTTCTCTATACTTAGTGAGTGTATCAGCTTCTGGTGATCTTTCAGAACCATGAACTAAGCTAAGTTATTCGTACTGCAAAAAATAAGCTACAATGTCAAATCAGTTTGTCAACAAGAGTTTATGTTCACATGGCTCAAGAGGAGTTGACATACTTTACGGATATCTACTCTCAACGGATCTATAGTACATGATCACAAGGAAGACACTTTGGTTAAACATATTACATAATGGATAAAGATCTTTTGGTGTATCTATTTTCAACGTCTCTTAGTATTATGGAGTAACAAAGACACTTGTGCAAGTTATCTCTTCCAACTAATATTCTTTTACAATTGCTATATAAGTAGCTAAAGATTAAATCTGGAATCAACAACAAGGAAAATAAAGAAAGAGAGCCCAGAAGAAAAGAAACGTTCCACGCTTCTATCAGAATGGAAGAACAACAAGATAAACAATAGAAACACAATCGAGTATGTAGAATTTTTGTCATATGTTGTAAATTGTACAAAGCCTTAAGATTTCTTAAACATTGAATATATTAGAAATCTTAAGTGTTGTGATCTTTGTTATGGTTATTTACCATGTACCCCTGATTGAGTATCAAGTACACCTTGTTGTCCATTCTGCTAGACTGATTGTTTAGTAGTTTAGAAAAAAAGTCTTTTGCTATGTGCTTGAGCATCAAAGTTTTTTGTTGTGAGCTTGAGCCAAGCAAGTCTCTTGCTAAGTGCTTGAGCATTAAAGTATTGATAAGTTGTTGATTAAGTAAGAAGTCTTGGACTGTAGGTCTAAGCAAAAGTCTTGAATCTGTGAGATTTGAGCAGGGAAGTCTTGGACCGTGGGTCTGAGCATAAGTCTTGAACATGAGGGGTTTAAGTAAAAGTCTTGAATATGTGGGATTTGAGCAGGGAAGTCTTGTACTGTGGGTCTAAGCAAAATTATTGAATCTTAGGGGATTAAGCAGGAAGTCTTGGATCCATGAAATCTAAACATGAAGTCTTGGGTTGAGGGTCTAAGCAGGAAGTCTTGAACCTGAGGGGTTTAAGCAAGAAGTCTCGGGTTGAGGGTCTGAGAAGAAAAGTTTTATGCTTAAGGGCATAAGCAATTGTAATCTTTTTTTTTATTATAGTGGAAAATATCTTGTGTTGCAAGGGGACTTGACTACTCTCAGTTTGGGAGAAACCAGGATAAATCTTTGTATGTTTTGTTGTTATTTATTTGCTTATGTTATTATTCCTTTGTAACCTATTAAATAGAATCTGAACTCTGTTCAGAAGCAAAGTAAAAATGGATAATACAGCTCAACCCTCTACTTGTGTATTTTTCTCATCTTCAGTTGGTATCAGAGGTATGATCTATGCATAACACTTAACAGTGGTTCAGATAATCATCTAATGAGAAAAATATGTCAGCTAAAGACTTTCTTTCAAGAAGGAATCAAGTGCCATATGAATAATATTACTTTTCCAATCCTCTTATATTCAGTGGCGACTCCACTGTATTTAAATGATGGAAAAAGAAAAATATATTCTTATATCATTGGTCTTGATAAAAGGGTTTTGACGAAGATTTATGGAATACCCTTTAAGGTGGGATGACAATATTTCAGTCAAAAAATGGACGGGGTCGGGCATTTAACGGGGGTCGACGTTGGGGTCACATGACTACCAACCTTGTTGAGTCAATAAATTTTGTCTTTAAAAGCACCCGTAATTTTCCTATTACAACATTGGTAAGTGCAATGTATTATAGACTGGGATCATTATTTGCTGAAAGGGGTGTAAAGTGGAGTGCATTGTTGAATTCTGGCCAAACATTTACAGACAACTACCTCAAGGTGATGAAAGAAGAAACAACAAAATCCAGCACACATTAAGTCATAATTTTTTACTACACTAACAATATTTTCAGTGTGAAGGAGACAATGAACCACAGTGAAGGGAAGCCTATGAGACATTATAAGGTCAACATACTAAACGGTTGGTGTGACTACGACAAGTTTCAGGCACACCGTGTCCCTTGCTCACATGTTATCGTTGCATGTTCTAATGTGCGTCACGACGGTTATGCTCTTTTATCCAACGTTTACAGGATTTTAAACCTGTTTGGGGTTTACAACACAAGCTTTTCAGTGTTGCCATACGATGAATATTGTCCCGTTTATGAAGGAGATCAAATTTGCCATAACCCAAGAATGCGGAGGAACAAGAAATGGATAACGTTGATAAGTTTAAGAGAAAATGTTCCACGTGTCGTCAAACTGGTCACAACCCAACCTGATGTCCCAATGTGGGAACAAGTAATCGTTAGTGTTTTATTTTATTATCATGTATTATTTTCAGATTAATATCTAACTTCTCAATTTTTTGGACCATTAATCATCGAGTACCAAATATCATTAGCAACAGATCAAATATCACAAACCAAACAACTTTATGCTTCATTAAATAACACAACACATGCATAAATAACACAACATAAATCAACGTAGATAAAAATACTTAAAAACAACATTTAACACAACTTCTCTAACTGATTACAACTATCAGTTTGATTTCATTTTGTCCAAACATCATTTCCCTCGCTTCCTTATCATTTTTGACTCGCACCCACCCACGTCGGGTATCGTACTTCTCAATACTTCTAATTTGTTTCTCTTCTGGTATGGTTCCTTCTAACCAACGCTTCAACTCCTTCTGTAGTTGCTCTAAACTACAGATGTTCCAGAAAAGCATATCCATAGCTGATTTTTCTCTTTAAAAAATCATTTTCTCTAGCGACGAAGATACATCTTAAAACTAACCGAAGAAATTTTAAATATATGTGAAAAATAGTTCACCCCACACCTCTATTTATATCAAATCGATATTGTACATAAATAATAAAATATTTAAAGGTTCCACCCACTGTAGTGCCGACACTGTACATAAGTAATAAAATATTCAAAAATTCCGCCCATTACAGTTTTGATACTGTACATAAATAATAAAATATTCAAAAATTCTGCCCATTGTAGTGTCAACACCATACTTAATTAATAAAATATTCATATATTAATATATATTAATATTAATAAAATTATATTAATTGTTAATATATTAATTAATATATATATTAATATTAAACTTGTATTAATATTAATATATATTAATTAATATACATTAAGTCATCGTTGTAAAAAAAAAAAATTTAGCATGGATATTGCCGCCCTTTCAATGTACGGTAGAGTTGGTTCTGCCCTTTCTAGACGGCAGTATTTATATGGATTTTTTTGTATTTTAAAAATGTGATATTTTTGTATATATAATCTATAAATCTATAAATTATATAAAAGGAATACTTTGTTTTAGTATGATCTATTTTTTTATCATTTTTACCCTTATTTTATTATAAAATTTATTTAATAACTTTTTATTATTAACTTTCATATAATTTATTATTTTAAACTTTTATATAATTTCTTATTATTAATTTTTATATATTATACTTTTAAAAAAAATTATTTTAAAAAACTATCGTTTATATTTTTATGCGCATTAAAAAAAAACTGACAATGTTTGTTTGGACGCTACATGAATATATGGTAAAATGGAATTATTTCCTAATAATGTGGTATAGTGGAAAAAATTCAAAATATATTCAAATTGGTTCTGTTGTCACCGTCGCAGCCGTGGGTCTGCGTCCCCGCTGCCGTGCATATAGTAGAAGTTCTGTTGTCGTCCTCTTCGTGTTGTTTAGCAAATGCCGTCTTAGTGTGTAGCTTTTATTGATGTTGTCGCCGTGCATATAGATCTTGAGCTGTGATATCCGACGGTTCCATCGCCATCACCAGATGCATAGGTACTATTGCATATTCACGTCTTGTTTTTCCGCTGCAAGGGGTGGTTGTTTACTACTTTCCGCCGGAGTGACACCAACGAATTTTAAAACACAATTTGGATATCCAGTTAAAACCATTTGGACACAAATCCGGTTTTATAAATATGGTTTTGGATTTTAGGCCCATATCCGATCCTAGAATACAAATGTCGACACGACCCGGCCCATGAAAAAAACCGGTTATTAACGAAATGACGTCTCCGTTAAGTTAACTTTTTATTTTTTTTCTGTCGGTTTCCACTTGAGTAAGAAAACGGGGAACCATTACATGAGTATAACTATAATTACCTTTTCGGTTCTACAGATACAAATTTCAAGCGTGTAGAGAAAATGAAAATGGTGAAAACCGTGATTCTTGTTCTACTAATATCGTTCCTTTCAATTTTACACTTCTCAGACGCCGAAGAAGAAGAAGCTTTTGACGTTCGCAAACATCTCTCTACTGTATCCAGGTTTTTCTCTTTCGTTCCCATACCATAATCGACCGAAATCTTTCGTTTTTCCTTTATTCTGCTTCCTCATTTTTGTTGCCTCTGATTTTGTCGAGACTTTTGTATGCATTTGTGCTTGCGTGTGTGCTTGATCAATTTTTTGAAACTTATTGAGATTGATGAAATTGTTCTTGTTAATTTTCTGCTTAGGTATGGAGTTGTGAAAGACATTACCGACAAAAACTTCATTCCTTCTAAAATTCCTGAAGGATGTACTCCAATACATTTAAATCTAGTGGTAATTTTCTTTACAGTTTAGTGTTAATTAATTCATTAATTATGAAAGATGTTCTACGTTTACTACACATTTAGCCTTGTGTTTTTGTAATTTTCAGAGAAATTCAGTATATTTTATATTGTTATGTACCAATTAAGGGTTTATTTGGAGGAAAAAAATCTATAAATGTATTAAGAAGTTTGAAATGCACTTATATATAGAGGCAATTTTTTCTCTCAAAAGGAGGTTGTAATTAGAGACAGAGGGGGTAATATTGATGGCTTTAAACTGTTGGGCAATAGTTCTTGACTAAATGGAAGAGTGTGATGATTGATAATGCTATGTTACATTGCCAGGCAAGGCACGGAACCCGTTCTCCAACAAAGAAAAGAATAAAGCAGTTGGACAATTTGTCAGCCCATCTGGAAGTTCTTATAAGGGATGCAAAAGAGAAACATTTGTCTTTGGAGAGAATTCCTACTTGGTTGAATGGATGGAAATCTCCTTGGCAAGGAAAGCTTAAGGGTGGTGAGTTAATTAAAAGAGGAGAGGAAGAATTATATGCTCTTGGAATCAGGGTTAGAGATAGGTTTCCAAGTTTGTTTGATGAGGATTACCATCCAGACATATATCCTATAAAGGCAACTCAGGTTAGTCTATCTCAATGTACATTAGTTGTCACTAATAGTGTTTTGGAAGAGTCATGAAACATTGCTTCTCAAGCCCATAGGGGAAACAATATGCTCGTTGTTTTGAATTAATAAATGAATACTAAGACATCATGATTAGTTGCAGTGCCATTGCAATATTGAGAGTCTGACACATGAATATTCCTTTTGATATTTCAAAAACTTACGCATCTCTCTTATGTGTGGAAAATAGATTCCCCGAGCATCAGCTAGTGCTGTCGCATTTGGAATGGGTCTTTTCAGTGGCAATGGAACTCTTGGACCTGGGCAGCACAGAGCTTTTTCTGTTATAAGTGAAAACCGTGCTAGTGACACCATGCTGAGATTTCATGAATGTTGTCAAAACTACAAGGTAATGTTGTAGCCACCATTGATTTCTCAAGAGGATTTCTAATGCAAAAGTTTCATGTTTATCTGACAAAGTTGCATTACATGTAATCTGATCATGGATTAGCCAATTTCATGCTTTTTAATGTATTTACGATTATGCTTCTATACATTATTATGTTATATACAGTCACCCAAACTGCATGTGGCACCTTTGCTGGGCTTATATTTTAGACCATTTTTAACGGCCAATTAGGAAGACCGTGTTTCTGTGTTACTTTCAGCAATAAATTTACTTCCATTTCTCTGTTAGGTGCTTTCTGCTTACAGTTTGTCCCATCACACTGTTACTACGGAGATTAACAAATTTAGTTGAAATCACTGTATTTGTCTAATTTAAAGGCCTTCGAATGTTGAATATGAAAGCAATTTTATGTTTCAAGAGGCTATACTTAATATTCATACATATGTTAACTCTATTTATCTATATTAATCATTTTGCGATCTTCGGTAGTCTTAAAAGGTATTGTATGTCTCCTAACAAAAAAAATAGTCTAGTTTATTTTCCTGACTTTTTTTTAATGGTTATATGATTTCTTTTGTTATGAGAGCAGGATTTCAGGAAAAGGCAGGAGCCTGCAGTTGATAAACTTAAGGAACCTATCTTGGATGAGATTACATCTGCATTAGTTGAGCGTTATGGGCTGAATTTTACAAGGCAGGTTACATCAACCCTCTGGTTCTTATGTAAAGAGGTAACAACATTTCTTTATTTCCAGCTTCTTTTGATTTTCCCTATGTTTTTCTTTTAATTTCACACATAATCATTTACTAGTGTCTTGTAGGTTAGTTATTTTTGCTTCTCGGTTTCCAATTGTTCAATTTGTGGTTATTTTGACAGGAAGCATCCTTGTTGGATATAACTGATCAAGCTTGTAGTCTTTTCAGCCCATCTGAGGTACTTTGTACTTTTATGGTCAAGATGTTGTGATTTGATATTTGATCTAACCTTTGACTTTTTCCTTTTTATTTGCTTGGGAATATTTAAATAAAGTAAAAATTAAAAGATGTCAGACCATCATTTAATTTTGACGTTATGATACACAAGAACCAAGTTTTGACTCCTTGATATGATATTTCTATAATATGTCAACTGACCGCAAAGAAACTGAATATGGCATTTTTCATGCTGAATGCTAAGGAAATTACTATTGTTGAGTGTACTCAAAAAACTCGTTTAGCTCTCACACATATAATCGAGATCTGTGGCTGAGTTTTTCTTCATTACAATTGCATGTTGCGTGCTTATAAAATGTTACATGTATATAGATTACATTGCTGGAGTGGACAGATGACTTGGAAATGTACATTCTGAAGGGTTATGGTAAATCAATAAATTATAGAATGGGGATGCCATTACTTGAAGATGTTGTTCAATCCATGGAGCAAGCTATCATGGCTAAAGAAGGTAATTTAGCATTTTTAATAGAGGTTCTTGCATGTCATATCATTTTCTTAGAATTCGGATTGGACCTAACTCAATTTTACACAATCGGTTTGTAAGGTGAAGATTACTCTCACTTATTAACATATTTTCCAAGTCATATCTCATCCGATGTGCGATTTTTTAACACACCCCCTTACACCAAGTACAAGTGAATTTGGTGCGTGCATATAAATGGTGGGTGGTCTATAGTGGAAACCTGATAGCAGGTGTCCCAACGGATCTCAGAGGCTCTGATACCATTTTCATAAATGTGCTGTGCCTCTTTTCTGCAATGTCCTCCTCCTTCTTCCTATGACCTCGAGTTTGTTTGCAAAAGGCCAACCGGGAAGCAATAACCCTGCCACAGTCATCTCTATACTATTGTGTTTTTCTTCATTCACCAAGCCACCGAAAGCTTTTCTGGACTCTTTCTCCGCAGCACCATGGCTCTCGCTACCGAGGGCGCAACAAACTCTGTGGAGGCCGTGGCCTTCGGTTTTCTGACGGACAAAGAGATACTACCTCTGCCCCAAATTATAAGTCACTTTGTCAAAAAAAATTGTCCCAAATTATAAGTCACACATTCCCAATGTTATACTAATGTCATTTTTTCCAATATAACCTCAAGTATTTATTATTATTTATTCTTTCAACTCTTTTAATTTCTCTCTCCTGTGTAATTATGAGGGGCATTACTATAAAGTTATACATAATTTGTCTTTCCCATAAAGTAATAATTACTACCTCTGTCCAAAATTATAAGTCACTTTGCCAAAAAAGTTTGTCCCAAATTATGAGTCACGTTATATTCCCAATGTTATATTAATGACATTTTCTCCAATATATTCTCAAGTATTTTTTATTTTTTATTCTTTCAACTCTTTTAATTTCTCTTTATAATTATGAGGGGCATTACTGTAAAGTCATACATAATTTGTCTTTCTCATAAAGTAATAATTAAGTTTCTTAATTTGTGTGAAATGTCCGAAACGTCTTATAATTTAGGACGGAAGGAGTAGTTAAGAGTAGTCGTGTTAAAGTAACCGATGCCATTCTGGTAGATAGTCTTGGTCGTCTCATACCTGGTGGATTATATGATCCTGCTTTTGGTCCTCTTGTGGATAGGTTTCCTTGTAAAACCTGTGGTCTGCCCAAAGATCACTGCTCAGATCATTTTGGTCATATTGAGCTTGTTGCACCTATCCACAACCCTCTGATATTCACATTTCTTGGCAATATTATAAGGAAAACATGTTTCTCTTGCCATCATTTTAAGGCCTAGCAGAAACGGGGTGGAAAAGCGTGTGTCCCAATTGAAGTTAATTATGGATGGGAATATTAGCAAGGCCAAAAGTTTGGATGAAATTGAACTAGATGGACCTCTAGATTGAGGCGATGGTGATGGTGATGATGAAAACCAATGTAGTAGAACCGAGCAACCGGTAGAAAATTGGACATCCCTTCAATTTTCCGAGGCAATGTCTGTTCTAAGAACATTTCTACATAAGGATTACAGGAAGTGTTGAAATTGTGGAAACATCAGTCATAATTTGAAGGAAAAGTTGTGTATCGTCACTAGAAGGATGGCGATGTAGTGCTTGTCAATCGACAGCCCACACTTCATAAGCCTAGTATAATGGCACATTTAGTCCGTGTTCTAAATGGGGAGAAAACAGTTCGCATGCATTATGCAAACAGCAGTACATACAATGCTGATTTTGATGGTGATGAGATTAATATTCATTTTCCACAAGATGAAATTTCACGCGCCGAAGCTTACAATCTTGTAAATGCCAACAACCAATATGTGAAGCCTACAAGTGGTGATTCAATCAGAGCCTTGATTCAGGATCATATTGTAAGTGCTGATCTTCTCACCAAAAAAAAAGATACCTTTTTTAGCTGTGAAGAGTTCAATCAACTTCTCTACAGATCTGGTGTATCCCTGACTGCGTCAGGCTTTGTCATTTGTAAACCAGGACAGAAAATATTCATGTCAAACTCCGAGAGTGAAATGTTTCAGTTTCCTCCAGCAATATTCAAGCCAGAGCCACTGTGGACAGCGAAACAGGTTATTGGTTCATTGCTATGCTATATCACTAAAGGTTGCCCACCATTTACAGTTGAGAAGAATGCAAAAATCTCATCTAGTTTTTTTAAGACTCAAATGAGGGAGGGAAAAAAACACTAAAGATACCTCAAGAAAAAGGGATGAGAATGAGGATAAATTGTTGATATATAAAAATAATTTGGTGCGCGGTGTAGTTGACAAGGCTCAATTTGGTGACTACGGAATGGTGCATACAGTGCAAGAGTTTTATGGCTCAAATAGTGCTGGCATTCTTCTGTCAGCTATTCACCAACTTTTTACAGATGCACGGGTTCACATGTGGGGTTGATGATCTTCTGATAAATGAAGGAAAGGATAGTGAAAGAATAAATCAACTTGAAAGCTGCGAGGGAATTGGTGACATTGTTCATCGTGAGTTCATTGGAGTCATGGAAAGTGATAATATTGATCCAATCACAATGCAGTTGAATGTTGAGAAAAAAATAAGCAGTAATGGAGAAGCAGCCTTAACATACATAGATAGGAAGATGATAAATAATCTTAACTCCAGAACTAGCTCAGGGGTATTGAAGGAGCTACTACCTGAAGGAATATCAAAACCTTCAGGAAAAAATTGGATTTCTCTTATGACTACATCTGGAGATAAGGGAAACTTTCAGCAGATATCTTCTCATATTGGCCAGCAAGAGTTGGAAGGAAAACCAGTCCCACCTATGTTTCTTGCAAACCTTACTGTGCTTTCCATCATGGGATTGTTCCCCCAGGGCAGGAGGGTTCATTATGGATCGGTTTCTTACTGCTCTTCGTCCACGTGAATATTACTTTCATTGTATGGCTGGTTGAGAAGGAATGAAGAATTGGTTTACAGCAACTGTTGCCGTCAGCTGGGTAGATCCAGTCTTTATATTAACAAGTTGCCTGATGCTCTTAAAGGAAAAGCAGAAAACTTCATTCATGATTTCTCTTCAAAAGAGAGAAATTCCAGTTCATTGAAACATGAAGATTTCCTATAGTTGATGGAGCACAAGTACGTCTCAAGTCTTGCTCAACAGAGTGAACCAGTTGGTGTGTTAGCTTTCTCAGTCTGTGGAAGAACCGGCAACACAGATGACTTTGAATAATGAATACTTTCCATCTTGCTGGTCGAGGTGAAATGAATGTGATTCTTGGAATTCCTCGTTTGCACTAAATTGTGGTGGCAGCCTTAGATAAGCATTAAGTCTTCCTTTATGTCATGCCCCCTGAGATCCAATAAATCTATGGAAAATCATTCTACATATGTTAATCATTTGTTTTCCTGAGCCATTTTGGATTTCTCTCCCGCGGATAGAATTTACGTTCCTGCCTTCCCTTGCTGGTTTAGCTCCATATGTTAATCATTTGTTTTCCTGAGCCATTTTTCCTTTGTCACTATTTGTATGTAACATTTTGTTAATTCTTATGGGTTGAAATCCTAGTTAATTCAGAATTAGTAATTAGAGTTAGTATTACTTCACTATTGTTTTTTTCCCTTTTGGAGGCTGTATCTTGAATAAGTTGCATTGTGTGAACCATTCTCTCATTTCAATTTTCTTTATTGCTTCTGTAGAAAAACATGTGCCTGGCAGCTTTGAAAAAGCAAGACTTCGGTTTGCACATGCAGAAACTGTAGTCCCATTCTCATGTCTGCTTGGTTTATTTCTTGAAGGGACTGGTGAGGCTTTTATAGTATTTTCTTGAATAAATTTTTATCAACTTCTATTTGGTTTCATTGCAAAGTAGTGGTAGAGTATGTTTATGATTATGAGTCTTCTCTTTTAACAGAGTTTGACAAAATCCAGAAGGAGATACCTTTGGCGTTTGCTCCAAAGCCTCCACAGAAAAGAAAATGGAGGGGTAGCACTGTGGCTCCTTTTGCTGGTAACAACATGCTGGTCCTGTATAGATGTCCTGCGCCAGACAAAGCTAGAAGCAAGCACTTTGTGCAAGTGCTGCACAATGAACACCCTATTCCAATGCCGGTAAGCTTTTGGTTTCTTATGAAGTTTATGAATGTGGTTCAGAGGTTGTTGAGTTCTATTCTTGATTGCTTAAACCTGCATTATGTCGTTGTGCATTAATATACAATTTTGTTGTGTTATTGCTACAGGGTTGTCATGGTTCTGATTTCTGTCCATTTGAAGTATTCAAGGTGACACTATGATCCCACTCTATCACACAAAATAATCAGTGTGCAAGATTAATTTGCTGACATTTTTTTAATCTACCACTATTTTATTACCGATTTTTCATCACAGGAAAAAATAGTTGCTCCTCATCGGAAGCATGACTACGATACAGTCTGTAACGCAAAGCTAGAGCAGAAGGGCAGCAAGATATTCCAAATACTTCAGTGGCTTTTTCAACTAGGTAAAGATGACAAGTACCCCAAAGACGAATTTTAGTTTTTTTTTTTTGGAAAGGAAAGAAGACAATTCAACCGAGTTCAATTCTCATGTTCTTTTTTGGCGATACCACTTAACAAATTTCAGGCTAAGCACTTCTAGCAGAGAACAACGATTTGAATGCCAGTACAAGAATGCCTTTGGCATCTTAAGCTTGGTGTTCAGTAGCTTGTAACACTTGAGAGTTTTGGTGACGGAAAGAAGAGTTCTAGATAACAGTTTCCCTTTTTCAGTTAGTTTTAAGCAGCGCTCTACACATATGATGTAGGTAGATGTTTCATGCACACATTTTGCCATTTCATATGAATTTCAGTATTTTAATTTACACATAGTTGATACTAAAGCAGCGATCTTATGATTTCTTGTAATGATCCTTCTTTTGTTTGTGTCTGTTGAATGATTTTGTGTAGCAGTTTTAGATGAATGATGATATTATGATCTAACGTTAAAGATTGTGTTAGATTTCTAATTATAGGCGGTCATCAGGCCTGTCATGTTGTTTAATTTTTGGATTATATTGGTGTGAATTACTTGGTTCTGCTACGATTTTGTTAAGATGCATGTCATTATGCGCGTCATTATTAATTTATAAAATGAGAAGCAGTTCTTGAAAAACAAAAGGATTCTGGGGTGGATGTGATCTAAGCACTAATTTCAGCTTAGATCTTTGAAAACAGTATACATGTGTAGGATCTACTTGGTTGGAAGTTTTGTAAGATATATTTTAAATAATTTGAATTGATTCAGTTTATTAGAAGAGTGGAACGAATAGAGGGAATTGCTCTTTCTTTTTCATTTTTTTATTAATTTTTTTCTTCTACAAGGTTATCATTGCTTCATCTCTTTTTGATATGTTAATTTTTGTTAAGTTAACGCATATGCTCCCGAGAGTCTAAATAAATTTCTATTCTTTTGTAAGCAAATCTATCTGTATATTATAAGATAATATATAGGGTTTTGCATTCTAAAATAGGCTAACCTGTCGCAATATGTACTTATGTAGGGTTTTGCATAGTAAATTCTATTTATAAGATAATATTTAGGATTTCGCATCCAGTAATATTTGGAGATGACATGTTTCTTTTTCTTTTATAAAAGCAATTGAATTAGTATAGAATACAAGGCTTATTCAACCTATTACAACATCAAAGAACTTTTAGAGAAATTTCTAAACAACACAATCTATCTTAAGCATCTTAAAGGGTCCATAAAAAAGCCAAAACAAATAGGAGTTGAAGAAATTTTACTTAGGCAAGATCATTTTCAAACAAAGAATTTAATGGTCCAGCAAACATCATTGATTCATATTACAAACACCATTGTTAAAAATAATATTGTTCCTTATCCTTCAAAGGCATCAAACAATTGTTAACCAAATAGATCCAAATTTCAAGTTATCATATCATCTCTGTTAATACACATTTCAAACCACTCCACAAAGAAGTTCTAATAACTCCTTGCATATACGCATCCGGACCAGTCTCCTACCTTATCCCAAATAGCCAAAGCAATAAGGCATTCGAAGAAAGAGTGTTGCAGATCTTCTTCCAAATCATGACAGAAAACACACATACTATCAAAGTTGTTGATTCCTCTCTTCGATAGTTGGTCATTCATAGCAAGCCTATTCCAAAATACTCTCCAACCAAAAGTTAAAACTCTCGTCGGTACTTTGATCTTCCAAAGAGATCCAAACACTTCGGCTTGGTAAATTAGTAGTAGACTCTATTGTCTATAATCTAACATCAGCTGCTAAGCAACCCTCACATTAAATACTAGAGAATTCTCAACCTTCCATCGAATGCCATCTTGCATCCCCAAAGAAGGCGAAATCACCTCTAACAGATTCTTCAGCTCCAAAAACCTTGTCGAGGCAGAAACTTGAACTGAATGAGGAATTCCTAGATCTCCCCAAAACCACCTCCTTTTGCTCCAAGAGCCCAAAGAGAACTTCATGGCTTCTTTTTTGTTGCTGCTATCATACAAATCTTCAAACAGCTTAGCGATCAGAGAAGAACAGAGCCAAGGAGCTAACCAGAAAGGGATGGAATTTCCATCACCTGTCTCAAAATAGATTCTACCTACAAAACAAAAACCTAAATTAGTAGTAGCAGCTCCACTCTTGATCAAATCCTTCCACCAAGAAAAAGTCAAAACCCTCAAAGTAGGTTTGTCCAACATAACTTAATTCTCAATGAAACCATATCTCGCTTTGAGAACTTCCTTCCATAAAGACTTTGTGCCCTCTAAAATCCTCCATTTCCATTTAGACAAGAGATCAAGATTAAACCCATTCATACTTTTAATACCAAGTCCACCATTTTCCTTCGACCTACACGCCAGATCCCACTTCACCCAATGTATTTTTTACTTATCTTCAGAGCCCATTCAAGACAGTCGTTGGAACTTTATAGAAAGAAAACCAAAAATAGGTAGACTAGTCAACACGGAGTTGATTGATTAGGGTGATTCTTCCTGCCAAAGATGAAAATCTACCCCTCCAAAGAGCTAGCTTAGATTTAAATTTGTCAATGATTGAGATCTAAGATTTGATTCTTCTAGGGTTAATCCCAATAGGGATTTCCAAGAAGCTAAAAGAGATCTTTTTAATCTTACAAGATAAAAAAGTAGAGACTGCCATAAGAAAATGACATCTCACATTAACACTAATAAGCCTACTCTTATTAAAATTCACCCTCAACCCCAAAATAAGTTTGAGTCCCCTAAAATCGCTTTAATGTTCCATAGATTCTTCAATCCCCCTCTCCTATAATCAAAGTATCATCTGCAAACTGAATAATTTCCACTAAATTTCCCTCTCCACACTAAACCCCTTGAAATCACCCACTTTATCAGCCTTTTTCATCAAGCAAGATAAACCTTCAGTGACAATGATGAAAAGAAAAGAAGATAAAGAATCTCCATATCTTAAGTTTTTTTCCACTTCAAAGTCCTTCGTAGGACTACCATTAACCAATATAGATAAATGACAGTTGAAGATGCATGCCTCCACCCACCTCATCCACCTTCTCCCAAATTCCATTTTGATCATCAAATAACGAAGAAAGTTTCAGTTAACACAATTATACACTTTTTCGAAGTCAACTTTGAATAAAAAATAATCCTTCATATCCCTAGTAGATTTGTCTACAATTTCGTTTGCGATTACAACTCCATCTAACAATTGTTTTCCAGGGATAAAGGTTGATTGGCAGGGAGACCGCCAATAACCCTTTTCAACCTCGCCATCAACAATTTCGCCAAGATCTTATACAAACACCCTACCAAACATATAGGTCTATATTCACCCAGATTCAAATGATGATTTACTTTAGGAATGAGAGTAAGGAAAAATGAAGTTACCGCTTTAGGAAGGTAAGCATGATTATTAAAATCGCTCACAAACCGAATAATATTCTCCTTCAAGATTAACCAACCCTTCTTAATAAACACAAAATTGAATCCATCAGGTCCCGAGCTTTTTGATCCTTAGCAACTCCAAACCGCTGCTTTGATTTCGTCTTCATATAAAGGGGACTTTAGAAGCTCAATATCAACTGCTGATAACAAGTTGAAAGAACAACCTTCTAACAAGGGCCTGCTAGAATCTGGTTCAACAAATTTCTCTTTAAAATAGCTTCTAAGTTCTAACTGTCTCCTTAACTTCCTCCATAGAATCCATTAAACCATTCTCAGTTTCCACCATTCCAATAAACTTCCTCCTAACTCTCCCCTTAATCCAATTGTGATAAATTTCTATTTCAGATAACCGACACGATTCCATTTAACCCTAGCTTTTTGGAATAACATATTATCCTTAATGAATAAATTTCTCCAAATCAACCTACAAGCTAAAGACCTTTTTTCTACAAGCTCTTTCACCTCTTTATCATCTACAGTGGCCAACTGATAATCTACCTCATTTAAAGCCTCAATTCCTTCTTCTATTTTGAGATCATACCACCCAAAAACATCTTTGGTCCATCTCTTAATTCTATCCTTTAACACTTTGAATTTCTCTTTGATAATATAGTCACTCCTACCTTGAACAATAATCTTTTTCCACTCCTTTTCTACAAATTTAAGGAAATCAGGATTATCAAACCAACATTCATTTGACTTAAAAGTGATAGAATAGAATATTTTGTTGTAATTAGTCATAATTAATTTTCTATAATTAGGTTGTATCATTATTAGATAGTTGACCAAAGGTTACACATTGATGTATATATATTCTATTCAGATCAATGTGAAAGACGACAATTCCATTATCTTACATGGTATCAATCCTAAACGATCCCTCTCTAAATTTAAAATTAAAAAAAGACCTTTTTCTCCCTCATTACAGTCTGCCGCTGCATACTTCTTCTCCCCCCTGGAAGTCTACCACCGCAATAGGACTGCCGTCCTCTGTACCGCCGCCGCCAAACACGAGAACAACCCTATTCTCTTGCCTTCCGCCTCAGTTCGCGCCACCGCCGTCGCACACTTCCGTGCACAAGGACCCACGCGATTTCGATCGCGTATTCTGATCCCTGCTTTCCGATCCCTGTTTCACTGTTCCACCTGCAGCCATGTCTGATTCAGGGAACTTTACATTTTAGACTACATTTATCCCCATCTCCCATTACAAAGCTTATCTCCTACACTGACGCTGATTGGGGTGGATGTCCTGACACCAGACGTTCCACTTCTGGTTACTGTGTTTTTCTAGGTGACAACCTTATTTCTTGGTCTTCTAAAAGACAACCAACACTCTCCCGTTCCAGTGCTGAAGCCGAATATAGGAGGGTTGCGAATGTTGTCTCCGAATCGTGTTGGATTCACAACCTTCTTCTAGAACTCCATTTTCCTATTCCTCAAGCTACTTTGGTGTATTGTGACAATGTTAGTGCCATCTATCTATCCGGTAATCCTGTGTAGCATCAACGCACTAAGCATATTGAGATGGACATTCATTTTGTTCGGGAAAAAGTGGCTCGTGGTCAGGCTCGCGTCCT